ACTTGGTAGCCCAGGCTGGCCTCAAACTCACAGAGATCCGCCTGGCTCTGCCTCCCAAGTGCTGGGATTAAAGGCGTGTGCCACCACCGCCTGGCGAGAATCTTTTCTTAAATCAATTATTTCATTATAGATTATAAAGTAAATTTATGTTTCTGTTTAGCCTCGTCAATTATCAAATTCCAATATTTTTCAATTAATTTTAATACTTTTAAATGTGTTCTTTAAATTTTAGAAATCAAAAGTTGGCAAATATAAATATCATATGTTTATTGATAATCTTGGATTTTCTTTTGTGTTTTCAGCAAAATTCTAAGAAGCCACGTTTTTTTGATAAGCCCATCTTTGAGTCCTACCCGGAGCCACCACTGTATGTCTTGGTTTTTACTTACATGGGATATGGAATCGGAACCCTATTCGGCTACCTCAGAGACTTCATGAGAAGCTGGGGAATAGAAAAATGCAACGCAGCTGTGGAGCGAGAAGAACAAAAGGTACGTATGTTTGCCTCCCTGGATCTGCCTCAGTGTCTACCCTTCCCAAAAACAGGGATTTGGGTACAGAATCCAGAAAGAATAGCATGTTCAAGAACCATTCGGCACAAATTCCATTCATCTCCACTCACTAAGCCCTCCCTCCTGAGTATTTGTGGCCTTTTTTTTCACATTTAATAGAATACTATTAATTGCCAAGGACACAAATTAAGATTTCTTGTTCATTGCAATATTTAACTTATATAATATTTCCATAACATATGTGATAAAAGATCATTTTAATGATGAACAAACTAATGTGAAAGACACCAATGAAAGCAAGGGCGCCTAGGGAGTATTTTTCTCTGGTCTTCTAGATTTAGTATCATTTGCGCTCTACTCCAGATAAGAACATGTATCTGAGTGAAATGTGACATTTCTATTTCATCTGGGTTAGGATTTCTCAAAATTTGCATTACCTACATACCTCACCAGATGATTCCCTGGTTTGGAGAGCAACCCTGGGCATTAAGGAATTTAAACAGCATCCCTGGCCTCTACACACTAGATTTGCCATTAACACTGACTGAAACACATAGTGGTGATCAAGTCACTCTATTTAGAACCATTTACCTTGATATTTTTGAAAATGTCTATATTGCCTTGTTTCTATACTGAGCTAGAGAATAAACAGATATTCGGAGATCTATTATATATATGTATATATATAATTATATATAACTAGTTCTTTGAGAAGTTCATACACATTTTGATCATATTCATTCCCTCCACCAACTCCTTCACTTTTCACCCCCTTCCCTACCCATCCAACTTTGTGTCCTTTTTTTCTTTTTTTAATCCATCAAGTACAATTTCTGATGCCCAAATATGCTTGGATGTATGGCCTTTCACTGGAGCATGGCTAAATTACCAGAGGCTACACTCTAAAAGAAAACTGACTTTCCCTCTCCTAGAAGCTATTCACTATTAATAGTTCTTCAGCTACCAGTGGGACTTCATGCCATACCCTCTCTATGCTGGCATTTGGTCTGCCTTGACTTTGTACAGATCTTGTGCATGCTGTGATATCATATGTGTAACTGCCCTTGCTGTGTGTGTGTGTGTGTGTGTGTGTGTGTGTGTGTGTGTGTGTGTGTGTGTGTGTAAGACACTGTTTTCTTGTAGTCATCTACTCTGGTTGTATTTTGTTTCTATATTCGTTTGCTTGTTTGTGTTGGCCCCTTCTTCCCCAATGATCCCTAGGCCTTGAGAAGAAAGAGTGCTGTGTAGATGATACATCTAAGGTTGAGCATTCTACAGCCTCTTATCCTCTGCGACTTGGCTAGTTGAAGGTCTCTGTTAATCACCATGTACTGCAAAGAGAAGCTTCTCTGATGAAAGTTGAAAGAAGCATTATTCTTTGAGTATAATCTAAGAATAGGAGAATATCAGGACAGACATAGTTTCTACCTTCAAAGAACAAACCATAAAAGAAGATGCTGACAAGAAGCATCAAAGATATAAGTAGAGGGTACTAGGAGAGGGCAGTAGGGGAGCTTGGAAAATTGCCCAACCTGAATGCGGTGCTGAGACTAGGCTCCTGGGATGAATAAAATTAAATTATTAATGTGGAAGAGAAAGTGGTAAGGCAAAGGGTTGGTAGAGATCCATGATGGTCCAGTGTAGTGGGTAAGTGTTCCAGCTTTGACCTTGAAGCCCTGCCTCAGTGAGGCAGCCAGTAACTGCCATGCCTAACTATGACCTGACCCTGGGGCATGGCTGAGATGGGAGCCCTTAAGACCCAAGATCTGTCCAGGCTGGCCCTCTTGGCTCCTCATGATCCTGGATGCTGGATGGCAGACCGAGTCAGAGTTCTCCAGAGAACCCTGCTGGACTGCACCTCACCTCTCCTGGATCCTGTAACGAACCTCTTTACTGGCTGTAAGTTACTCCAAAATAAACCTCCTTTTAACTACGTGGAGCTGCCTTCATAAATTCCCAGATTAGTCCAGGAATAAGAGCAAGTGTTGCCATAGTCAAGGAATCAAGGACTTGAGTGTTCTTGAGTATGAGGACAAGGACTGTGTGAAAGGCAAGTGGGGTCAGACTATGATTGTCTTATAATCCATGAATGTTTATTATGAGAAAGTATTGACAGATTTCTGGCAGAAGAATGCATATTTGTAGATTTAGAAAGATTATCCTCTCTACACTATGAAAAATAGGTTACAGAAAGATGATACTGATATAAAAAAAAATCTTGGTGAGACAGTGGGGCTGAGACCAAGGTATTGACAACAGGGCAGTGATGAGAAATAAAGCCAAGAGATGTTTAAGAAGTAGTATTACAGATGGTCAATCTGATTTGGAGAAACAGAGATAAAGACTATACCTAGGGTTTTGGTGTGGGCAGCTGTGCAAATGTTATCATTCATTGAGATGGGAAATAGAGAAGATTGTCATAAGTGCAAAGCGATTGATTCCTCTTTAACAAGTCTAGCTTGTCAAGAACTGGCAGCTGAAAACCTAAAGAAGGACCTCAGGAGAAAACTCTCAGGGTGGATCTTGTGTCATCTCCCATGCTAGTCTTCAGCCTAGCAATGTGTAGCCAAGGCAAAGAAGTATACAGGATATGCAGGGCAGTTCCAGAAGAGCAAACAGAGAAAATAAAGATGAAATGAACTTCAGAGAATTGGATAGATGTCAGAGATGGAATTCTAATTCAAGACCAGAAGAGAAGAGACAGTGAAGGAGGCTTACAGTTGTTTAGAAAACACTTCTTCACGAACTGTGGACGAGGTTGATCACATGAAAACGGAGCTGCTTATGAAGAGATGACAGAAATCAAGTCTTGGTGGCTGACTGCATCTAGAAAAAAATAATAGAAGGAATACCAAATAATTTCAAGTTTTTCCCTTTGGCACAGACACTGATGGCAATGTCACAGTTATCACAATGAAGTCGTGCTATATTAACAATGATTGTCAGTCGGGCAGTGGTGGCACATGCCTTCAATCCCAGCACTCAGGAGGCAGAGGCAGGCAGATCTCTGTGAGTTCAAGGCCAGCCTGGGCTACAGAGTGAGTTCCAGGACAGGCACCAAAGCTACACAGAAAAACCCTGTCTCAAAAATTTGTCTGTCTGGGAGCTCTGTGGATAGGAAAGCCCTGTTAAAATCATTCTGAACTGAAATAAGGGCACTGGGCCTTCAGGATTTTGCATTGGTGGTGGCTGCTATCAGAGACTTTAGTGGAGGAAAATCCCCTTCTGGCCCAGGAAATACTCAGAAAGCTATAAAGCCCCAATTTGTTCAGCAATAAGAAGAATGGATAATTCATTCAGTCTCAAATGACAGGCTATGAGCATCACACAGTAACCTGTACTTCAACTTTTGTACCCAGTGTTACAATAATTGCTTAACCACAGGCATGGCAATAAGTAATTCAGTAATTTGCATTTCCTTATAAAATAAATAGTTTTCAGTCTGTTCTCTATGAAGCAGATTGATGCAATATATTCTCCTTAGTAACTATGATTTTAATATTTGTTACTTGTCCCATTTGAGCTCCTTTAGAACCTTTTGGAGTAAAGGGTTATAATTATTAATGACTATCTATATTCTTTGGAAGTGACTTAGTCTTCCCAATCCTGTCTTCAGTCTGACCTTTGATTTTTTTAATGCCCTGATTCTGTCAATATCTTTGCCTTGTGTTAACAAACTATTTAAACCATGTTTCAAAGACTCTTCATCAAAGTATGTAATTGTCTATTTTCCAGTGACCTATGGTTCCTGTAGTGAAAATGAGCATTTTTTTTTATTCTAAACACCATCACTTGTGATACATAGCACTTAGTCCCCTTAGAAGAAACCAGCTTATGGGCAAAATAGCTTCAGAAAAGGGAGCACATTCATTAATCAGCAATGGAGATGATCCAATGTTTTCCTCAAAAATCTATAAATGGATGCCTTGATTTCTTCCTTTTCTTTTTTCATAACCAAAAATATAAGAACTCATTAACTCAGTTTTCCTATTATTTCTCCCACTTCTCCATTCAAATAGAAATACTTCTCTAAATTTATCATTTGTTTGCTTTTTTGCCATTTTGATTTCTTACACAAATGCCCTTAAAGTGATTCCAAAACATAAAGGCTCTTTTATTTGTTTGAACCATAGGCTTAGATCTGAACACTTGGTCCTGAGTTGGTGGCATTGTTTCTGGAGGTTTACCAGGTGTAGTCTTACTGAAGGAAGTACGTCATTTGGGGGAGGGCTTAAGAGCTCAGAGTCTCACCCTACTTGCAGTTTGATCTCGCTCCCCTGTTCTTGGTGGGTCAAGATGTGAGCTTGCAACTTCCTGGGCTTGCAGCAGTATCTGCCACTTGCTACTGGGCCTCTTGCCATGATCGAAGTTTATCCCTCTGGAGCCATAAGACAAAATAAAGTTTATCCCTCTGGACCCATAAGCCAAATTAAACTCTCTCTTCCTTAAATTGCCTCGGTAATGATGCTCTACCACGGTAACAGAAAAATAATTAAGTCAGCTTTGATAATCTCTTTTCTCTGTACTAATAGGGAAAAAAGAATACAAATTTCCAAACCACACTCTATGATTACAACACAGGCTCAGGACTCTTGGTAAAATTATCAGCAAACTCAAAAAGGAAAAGGACACTAGCTTGGTATAAAACGCTGTAGTTGAAACACTGTCTCCACTGTGTGTCTAAGTCATATTTATACCTGACCAAGTATACCCCAGGCATCTCTGGCTGCAACCACTTGAAACAAAGAAAACTCAACAAGTGGCAACTGTATAAAATTTTAAATAAATATTCACATATACACAAATTATAATTTGTCCTGTGTCATCTATATTAAGGATCCTGAAACAATATCAGGATGGTCACAAAGAAGCTTTCTCCTGAGCAATATGAAGGATAGGGTCATTGGAGTAGTCAGGTAATATGGCAGACAGGGGGCTCAGGCATTGATCTTACTGTGTGGACCTATGAGTGTCTAGAG